CCTACTCCATCACCTTCTCCCCTCCTCCTCCTTATCCTCCTCCCCCTACTCCATCACCTTCTCTCCTCCTCCTCCTCCTCCTCCTCGAGGTGCTAGGGGTAATTTCAGACTGGGGGTAATCTCAGACCGTGACAGCGGCATGGCACCGCCGAGTCGACTGCAGCCCCACTCGTTTTCCGTTTGACGGTACGAAAAACGAAAAACGAATTCGTATTTCCTTTACCGTTTATCGTTGTTGTGCGAGAAAAACGGAAAACGAAATCTTTTATCGCTTACCGTTTTTCGTTATCGTGTATGAAAAACGAAAAAGGAAATAACTACTATTTTTCGTTTTTCGTGTTTTGTTTTGAAGTAAGAAAAACGAAAAGACGGTATATATATACACGAACCCTAGTACAAGTATTGTTTATATTTTCATTTTATTCTTAGTCTCTTCATCACAGCTATCTTGTGATCAATAATAGCTCTTCGCAATTAAGTTTATGGTGTTGCCTGTATCGCTCAGATATTAAGGCTGCATAAATAACAACGTCCTGTGTGTAGATGTATAGCAAAAATTCCAACCTGTGCTTTTCCCCAATGCACCACATGTACCTGCGATAGAGACACGTCTAGCTTTTGATAGTAAACAAGCACACAACACTGTTCTCTCTCATGTGGAGCACGTCTCTCTCCGGTAGGGGGCGCTCCCGCGCCGTCTCCGTGCTGTTGTTCATGCCGATCGTGTGCACGTTGTGCCCGAACATGGAACCGACGAGCGGAACGCCGGGGAAGGTCTTGCGGAACGACGCGGCGACGGTTCGCGCGTGTTCCACGTGGTGGTCCTTCTCGACGAGATCGCCCGGGTTCTGCTTGCAAACGAATACCAGGCCGAACGCGAGCCTCCCGTCTACGTCCGTCAGGGCGCCGCGCAGCTCCGTCATGCGCGCGGCGATCGCGCGCTCCTCGCACAGCCGCACGTCCACCGTGACGCTGGCGACCTCTAGCGTCTCTCCGGAGAAGGCGATGCCCTGGACGCAGTAGTTGAGCGAGGTGGCGCCGCCGCGCCGCGCCGCTGCCAGGTGGCTGAAGTAGCCGTGCCCACCGGCGAGCACGAGCGACGACCGGCGGCGCCCCCACAGCTGTTCCGTTATCTGGCGTGAGATTCTCATCGCTTCGCTGCTCGGGCAGTCGTAGAATAGGAGCAGGCACTTGACCGCGGGGTCGTCCCACAGCCAACTGTGCCGGCGACCCCACTTTTCAAGGTCGGTGGGATCGTCCCACTCCTCGAGGAAGTGATGCACGCGTATTTGCGACGGCAGCGCCAGGCAGGCGATCGACGACGCTTCTGCGGCGCCCTCTAGTGTGTGAATGCTACCTCCTAGCTCGTGGCAGCCGACGCAGCCCACCGAGCCGATGCAGAGAGTGGCGGCCCCTGGCGGCAGACACTCGCTCATGTAGGATAGCAGAGAGAGCGGCGCGTCGTGTTTTCTCGCGTGCTCGTTTCTGTCCGCTTTCACCTTCCTGTCTACCTGGGAGTTGCAGTTTGTGTCGAGTTCCCTTTGCTCTTGTCTATTGCCTTTGCAGTCTATGTCGGCTCTACTGGCATTTAACAGCGTTCGTGACAGAGTGCTGGTAATCAGGGTACCCGTGGAAAACACAAGAACGGTGCTCGGCTCCGACTCCAGTTCCTTGGAGAAGCGGCGGAACGCGTCCGCCGCCTGAGCGACATCGTCGGGGGCAACCGTCCTCCCGACCACGTCGCACCGCGCGAGAAAGCACTGCAGTCGCGGCTTTCGGCGATGTTTCACGTAGGTGGCGCTGTCGTTCCACGCGGCGCACACCGTCGCGCACGAGTTGAGCGCGAGAGCGGGGAGCAGACGAAATATGTTGTGCATGATCTCGGGCAAATCCAGCAAGGGGTGAAGCTGACCTCGTGGCCTGTGGGCATCTGTGTCCATGTTTACCCTCTGGTGGCACTGGGTCAGCATACCTGTAACGACAGAGGAGGTGAGAGTCGAGCCTTCAAGCTTTACTGCTGAGTGGAGTACTTACAATCGGTGGCAAATGTTTTGATCCTGTGCATAATTAATGATCGAGTAAAATTCCGATTGTGATGTGTGTCAGCAAACGTGTAAGTACTGCATGGAGTGTATGGTACATTGTCGTCATCGTTACCATGATCGTCGTCAGCAGCCGCAGCAACAGGGACAGGAGCAGTAATAGTTGTAGCAATAGCAGCATCAACAGAGGCAGCAGTAGCAGCAGCAGCAGCTGTAGTACTAGTAGTAGTAGTAGTAGTAGCAGCAGCAGTAGTAGTTGTAGCAATAGCAGCATCAACAGAGGCAGCAGTAGCAGCAGCAGCTGTAGTGCTAGTAGTAGTAGTAGTAGTAGCAGCAGCAGTAGTAGTTGTAGCAATAGCAGCAGCAGCAGCAGCTCTACAGCTCTCAGTAGCGTCTCTGCAAAACTACTACCGTGTGATGATGATCTAAGAATATTTCTCATCGGCGATTCATTGTGATCCCGGTGCGGCCAACCTGTTCCACTTGTCAGGAAAGCTACCTGCAGCCTGAACTCCTGATATTATGCTTCCTAACAAGTGTGTATCTGGGTCACTGGTGCAGTCATCCGCGTGGGACCAGAGGCCCAGGTGCCAAATCCGAGCGGTTTGGAGATGTGTGAGCAATCACCTTATACGCAATGTTGCACTATAGATCTGTAACTTTCATGATATGAACGCTGTATAATATGTCACGTATTGTATGTACTGTAGACAGTGTGTGCACACGCAGGTGCGAACGCAATGCTTACATTGTCAAATTCGTTCGATATATGAAATCATGAGCGAGTGGCAAGGATAAATGCCATCAATAGAGGGGTTTGCCTAGACTGCAACCGGTTTCATTATGTGGAGGATAATTGAGCAATCGTCGCTTAGCTGTCGATGGTGCCGATGATGTAGTCATTTAGTACATACACTATAGTTAGTTTATACCATTATACCAGGAGTGGATAATAGAGATATTATATAGAGATCTAGAGTCTCTATTATCCGCTCCTGATAATACTTATGCGTGAAGAAGAGGCATGGACAGCCTCTACGGGGCACAGCTCTACTGTGTTCTCCCACGTGGATTTGATTTGATGGTTGGATGATGACATTTTACATAAAAGTTATGTTGAGAAAATGCTACACAAAGTTAGCAATGAACTTTTTTATATATACCATTATACTGTTTGAATTAATTAGGCTCTATATAAATAATCCACTAATCCGTAGCCAAGCATTTTTTCCTCTGTATCATCACAATCCCAGATTAACCTAATTAAATTTCTGAGTAGCTGATACATCAGGATTTATAGTAGAAAATGCACATATCAGGAAGCCCAATCAATAGACGATAATTCCAACGTGAACTGTCGGGCAGACATTTTCCACTCTGCTGCGACGCCACAACCTATCTCCAACCGTTATGCAGCTAATCTGGTGCTCTGGATTCCCGAGCTGTAAACATAGTATATATGTATAGTAGTATATATGTATAGTAAGTAATATAGTAGTAAACATAGAGCTGTGAGACAGAGTCGCAGCCCTCGTGTCAGGATATATATATATATACGTGCAGGCACACACCGTATAATGCACAGGTTAATGGGAATCACGGCTATTTAGAGATGAATGCTTGGTACATATATGTGTTGGTACTTGTTGTATATTTTGGCAGGGGTTAATAACGACAAATTATTCACCCCTGATATTCACCCCTGGTAGCATTATTCACCCCTGATATTCACCCCTGATATTCACCCCTGGTAGCATTATTCACCGCTGATAATTAGGAAGATGTAAAACAATGAAATTAATGGAACAGCCGGCCTCCGCAACTGTGTTGCTAAGTTTTCGGTAACAAGCTTTCGTTCGGCAAAACTACGCACTCGTTGTTATGCGGATGATGTTGCTATAGCCTCATGCTGGCGACATTGCAGCAGATGTGAGCTGAAGAAATTTGGATGAAGTGCCTTGCATTGTGATACAACAGGCTGATGCCAAGGTGTGCTTGCGAGCATGGCACTCAAGTTTCGTTTAATCGTTCTCTCGTGAAACCCTCACGCAAACACATATATGCATATAGAAGTATATTGATATCGTAAACTTTTACGGCCCATGGCTTAATTTCGCATTGCTTACCCTAGCAAACATACAGCTCATGTGAACCTCTCGTGGAGTGATCACACTGAATGAGCGAGAAATCTGTATAGTTCGATGAGTGAGTTAATTTTTTAAATTAAACTTACCTATTTGCGTTGAATTTATTCTAGGGAGTATATATATTAGAGAGACCGTCCATACAGTTTATTTGTTGATGCGTAGTTTTTATCTGAGCCATATTCTGACCGAACCTATTCCCAATACATGGTTTCCTATTACAGTATATACACGGGCTCCAACGAATGTCTCCAAATGCATTAAGCCACATGGAACTTCAACAAATTACATGTTCTTGCCATTAGCATATACTTCGTAGGTCACTCTAATAATTTCTGCTGCTAATTATCATAATATGACTGTACCATATAGGCACAGACTATATAGTGATAACATAGAGTGCTAATATTGAAATATAATATTGTCCCAACTAGGCCCGTAGCCAGCGGGGGGGGGGGTTCGGGGGGACACGGGCTCCAACGAATGTCTCCAAATGCATTAAGCCACATGGAACTTCAACAAATTACATGTTCTTGCCATAGCATATACTTCGTGGTCACTCTAATATTTCTGTGCTAATATCATAATATGACTGTACCATATAGGCACAGATTATATAGTGATAACATAGAGTGCTAATATTGAAATATAAAATATTGGCCCAACCAGGCCGGTAGCAGGGGGGGGGGTTCGGGGGCTGAGTTCGAACGAACCAAAAAAAAACCAAAAAAAAAAAGAACCAAAACCCCCTTGCCCCAAGCAAACAAAATTTTTTTTGAAAATTTGCAAGAATTTCAGCTCAGGTCGCTCCATTTTAGGTAATAATTGGCAAAATCTCCATCGTGCGGAGCAGTGAAACAGTGAACACCCCCTCCCCCGCTTCGGTCGCTTGGCTCCCTCGCCTTGGTCGCCTTCGCGTCCGAGCTAGGGGCGTGTACAGGGGGGGGGGGGGTTCAGGGAGTCCGGACCGCTCGTTTCCTTTTTCCCAGTCGGACATATTCCAGTCGAAGAATTAGCGCCTTCTGGATTGCGTTCTGATTGGTTCATCCTGCCTCCTGATTGGTTCAAAAACAGCGCGTGTTTGCTTATTTGCATATGTCATGTGCCTATTCTTATAAAGTCTGTGGCGTGTTGATAGGACACCGGCGTTTATGTCTGAAAGGGCGGTGGCATCGAATCCCGTTTGGTTTTTTAATTATTTTTTTGTTTTCTGTTATTTTTCTATCTTTATCCATTTAAACTATTGTTCTTCTAATTAACGGAAATATTTTGATGATTGATTTACAACAATTAAATATTTTAATGAAATTTTTTTTAAAATAATTTATTTTCATTTATTAGTGTTAATTAAATTTAATTAGGTTAGGGTTAGGATTAGGGTTAGGGTTAGGGTTAGGCGTTAGGGTTATTATTGCAAAATAATTGCCAATTCTCTCGCTATGTTACAAATGGGCGTTTGTTCTCTGTCAAGGCAAAGCAAATCGAAGCGCAGCCAATCAGAAGGCGCCTGCAAATTCTATGTCGACTGCGGAAAAAAATACTCGCGTCCGGACCCCCCTTGCTCTTTGCCAGAAAACGCATCTGAGGGGGTGTAATTTTAAAAATTTTAACGCAACTTTGAGCACGTGCTCGCAACTTTGGGTTACGGTTAGACCCCCCCTGGTACAAATCCTGTAACACGCCCCTGCCGAGCAAAATTGCCAACATTGAAAAACGAACCCCCCCCCCCAATATAAAGCTGGCTACGGGCCTGGCCCAACCACCTTTTACATCTCCGTGCCTCGAACACATTCATACTCCTTTCACAACGCGAACAAAGTTCTCGGCTGGTGATCGTGACAATTGCAATTGCAGTCTGACTGTCTGTCTGTAGGTCGGTCGGTATGTCTGTCTGTCTGTAGGTCGGTCGGTATGTCTGTCTGTCTGTAGGTCGGTCGGTATGTCTGTCTGCCTGCCTGCTCTGTTTGTCTGTTTCCATGCGGGTAGCTATAGATTGCATTTACTATAGAAGCATTCCTATAGTAGCTATAGATTGGTGTCTGTGTTGATGACAGGTGTTTTACTATTATCTACTTCTGGTGTTATGTATGTGTGACAGGTGCGTGGGCGAGCATACAAACCGGTGTCACTGTACAATGTAATGCAGCTGTAACGTACCACCTCGCTGAACAACGACGATGATCAAAGGCGTTGTCTAGTGACAGGGGAATAGTCAGTCCTACCTGTCCCTGAGTCTGTTCAGCAGGATATTCGACCGCGCAGGATCCAGAATTTATTTTTATTTTCTGCTACCCAATCATCATCTCATTATCTCATCATATTATCCCATCATCTCAGAGTTCTCACTGTAATCTTCCTACTCTTGATATTCCAATGAACATGTCTGCGCCGATAGCAAATGGTTTTCGCAGCATAAGAATAAATGCACGCGCACGCACACGCGCGCGCGCGCACGCACGCACGCACGCACGCACACACACACACACACACACACACACACACACACACACACAACACACACACAGCTTTGGGGTTATTTGACTTCGTGTATACTGTTATATTACCATATGTCTGTGTGTGCTGGTGCTGTGTGCCTGTGAGTTTATTACACTTGCGGTTTCATACGTCGATACAGTTTGCTGCTGTTAGTTTATTTTGTTACGCCTAATTTTAATTTCTCCTTTGCGTCGAATATGCATTGCATTCTGCTTTGCGTCGACGATGACATACATCAACTATATTGCCCGTGCTGCGATTCATATACGTGTCAATATATCGCGTTCCATTGATTACCATAATCAATCCCTTTCTTGTATTGAAAATATATTTGCAATCTTTAATTTTTCGTAGTCGTTTATATGTATAGCGGTATATTATATGTAGATATATAGTATATAGTCGGTTATTATAGCGGTTATATATATTGGGTATTACGATTGTTATCGGTAAAGAGCGTTTATAATCGTGACGATTTTGGAAGTGGGGTAACTTTCGCTAGTACGTGATCGCCGTTCCTATACCTTTACGGATAGGAAGGAATTTCATGCATTGTTGGTTCACCTTGTATTTAGAATAGTTTCCGATTGCAGTTCTATTCTTTGATATTTGTAAACGAAAATACGTTTTCTGTCACTTCAGGTGCACTCGCTATGCGCGGAGCTTTTAAAGCGAATAGCACTAGCTGGTATCTAAGCAACACGGATACAGGTTAATTGCGCTTGTCTGGTATAGTCAATGTCGTACAGCGGTGTACGTATATAGCACCATGGAGACGGCTGTAAATTGCTACGGAGAATGGCCCCGTTAGTCCGTACTTTATACGCAACAAAAAACGTTTCACAAAGTATCAGTCTAACTGTAAAACATAACCAAGCTGCTAAAACACACACACGCACACACACGCACGCACGCACGCACGCACGCACCGTACACACACACACACACACACACACAACACACACACACACACACACACACACACACAGACACTACGCGTACACACACACATACACACACAACACACACACACACATGCACAACACACACACACACACACACCACACACACACACACACACATTAATAATATATATGTAACATTTATATAGCAACAAAAATCGTTTTGCGTTCGCATAATATATGCATCGTATATATATCGTATATTATACTCACTCTGTCTCTCAGACCTGTGGAGGCCTGCAAGCGTAGCTAGCATCCACACCTGTACGCATGTCGTGTGCGTCACGAACTTTTGCTGCTCTGAAGACCAATGATAACAATTTAGCTAGTATATCGCCACAATGGTAATAATCAAGCGGATGTAATAGCAGCAAGCACTGTATTTCGCCTGCGCGTATAGGGAATATAATAATACTGACCGGAACCTTCGGTACACCTAGAGTCCTTATACAAGCACTGCGCCTAGCCGTTTGTGTGCGTAAAACTAGGCAAGAGCTGGCTGGTGTTATTGACGAGGTGGTTGGAGAGATAGGGGGCGTGGTCTGTTGCCACGGAGGCACCTGTGCGCGACGGGATTTGTGTCCCGTCACGCGGTGGCTTGTTAGTGGTGGGTGAGATGGCAAATTATCTCCTCTCGCTCTCGCTCCTCTTCTCTCTCTCTCTCTCTCTCTCTCTCTCTCTCTTCTCTCTCTCTCTCTCTCTCTCTCTCTCTCTCTCTCTCTCTCTCTCTGTCTCGCTCTTTCTCTTTCTCTCTCTGTCTCTCCCTGCCCACTCTCTTCTCTCTCTTTCCGTTTCTATCTCTTGCTCTCTCTCTCTCTCTCTCTCTCTCTCTCTCTCTCTCTCTCTCCTCTCTCTCTCTCTCTCTCTCTCTCTCTCTCTCTCTCTCCTCTCTCTCTCTCTCTCTTCTCCTCTCTCTCTCTCCTTTCCACTCTCTCCTTGTTCTTCTTCTCTCTCTTCTCTCTCTTATCTCTCTCTCTGCTCTCTCTCCTCTCTTCTTCTCTCTCTCTGCGCTCTCTCTCTCTCTCTGGCTCTCTCTCTCTGCTCTCTGCTCATCTCTTCCTCTCTCTCTCCTCGGTCTCTCTCTCTTCTCTCTTCTCTCTCTCTCTCTCTTCTCTCTCTGCTCGCCTCTCTCTCTCTCTCTCCTCTCTCTCTCTCTCTCTCTCTCTCTCTCTCTTCTCTTCTCGTCTCTCTCTCTTCTCTCTCTCTCTGCTCTCTCTCGTCTCTGTCTGTCTCTCTCTCGTCTCTCTCCTCTCTCTCCTCTCTCTCTCTCTCTCTCTCTCTCTCTCTCTTCTCTCTCTCTCGCTCTGCTCTCTCTCGTCTTACTCTCGTCCTACTGCCTCTCCACACACGTCGCTCCTTCGTGGCACGCCGCCGGCGCGATCTTTCTCCTTCTTTCGAACCTTGTATATCCCCATCCTCTCTGTTCTTGCCTACTCGGCTCCTCTCCGCTCCAGCCATTTCCCTCACTCTTAGCTTCACATTCGTATTAGTAACACGCACATAACAGCCTGCGACCAGGCATTTGCGGTTTCAGTAAAGAAAAACATGTAAATTGGCGATATTAAACCAACAGCCCCTCATTAGCAGAGACCCCGATCATCGCACTTAACTGTTCTCTTTGCTACGCGCACACGCGATCATAGTGACTTTCCAGTGTTTCGCACACCGACGTTATTCGCTTTACCTAATTAATTTCTCGTCTGTGCTCAGCCGCCCGGGCATGCTTGCATGCAAGGCCGCCCCAGAGAGCAACTCAGAGAGCCCATCTAATAATTACTTATCTGACTCCTAGTGTTACATGCGTTAATGCTAGACGCGCGACAAACAAACGTCCCTCGATTGGTGGCCGTACCCCCCCCTACTCACACACTTCGTCTTAGCGCATGGTGCCAGCAACCAATTACGCTCTTGTAATCGTGCGTCAGTCCTCACTTACGTCAGCTAAACTCTCCTCAATGCGTAACGCCATGGAGCCCATTTAGGCCTCCTGGATAGCTTATGTTCTGTTTGCCTGCGTCGGCAGTGTTGCGAAATGATATAATGAGAAGCTCTCGATCATACCCACGGACAGCGCAGCTTGCGCGAAAAGCCACGTTAGAATAATATGTGCTTACGCTACTTCACGCTTGCCACACTTGTCACTATATTTGCTCGTCGTGTAGTTGTTCGTGTACTGTTTGCACGCGCGTTGCCACAGTCATGTAATTCGCTACACAGCCGCATCACAGCACGGATTTGGTCGCACACGGGCTGAGGTTTCGCCGGCTTACGCATAAAAGGCGCACTAGTGCGTTGTCTGTGGCAAGCAGATATAACACGCTGAAAGACCCGTGGGGAGTATCCATTCACAGAATATAAGCCAGAGACGGCTTCGCTGTAGTATGCCCGGAAGTGTATTGCCAGCATCTCCGAATTATGTCGGAACAGAGCGAATGGGAGGGGGGGAGATGCGCCGCCGGTACGTTGTCTTTTCCTCGGCCCAACGGAGTGTGGCAGGAGGTATGTGATCGCTCTCTGCGCTGCCAGTTCGTCCGGCCACACACCACCATCCCCGCGCGCCGTCACCCCCGGGTCCCGCACGCCGGCCGCTCGTGTGTTCCGCGATCGATATGTACCCGCAGCGTCGAAGCCAGCCAGACAGCGACAGCGAGCAGCGGTGTGCTCCACATGGTAGCACTAGCCACGGCCGGAAAAGCGAAACGAGCGGGCTGCTACGAAGCGAGCAAGCGCAGCAGCCAGCGTGTATTATGTCAGTACGCTAGTGCGTATATCGCTCGCTTATTCCGTAGTGTTCGTTGAGTCTGTTAATGCGTATGGGTATATGTGCGGCTGGCGGAGGTACGTGCACCTCCTACGTGATGCACTCTGTCTAGGCTTTTAGTATGTAATGATGGTCGGTCTTTCGGTGTCACTTGGATTTATAACAACGGCATGGCGCCATCTAACAATGTGTGTGTTGTGCGCTGCGTGCGTGCGTGCGTGTCAGTCACAGTACACAATAATAGGTATAAAGCTTGCGCAGTTCTTCCCATGCTCTTGATATTTCTTCGCCATACCCATGGAAGTCTCAAAATTGCGTAGGTTTCCAAGAATGAGTAGAGTCATACGAAAATTAAATTTACTACGTTTGAAGGCCGAGGTGTAGAGTATATGCTGGCCTATAGCTATTTTATAACTTTGGCATGTATATTTGTGTAGCTTTTACGCTATATGTACACGTGTGGCTGTCTATGAAAATGCGAATTCACTGCCTGAAACTGGCCAAATAAAAGTTTATTCTGCATTTATGCATTACATTAGGCTCGGATACACGTCATTTTTTGTGTTGTAGCTTGAATCCTTCGTGCAAACTTTCGTATTTTACCGAAGTTGGTCTTCGCTGAATTTTTTTTTAAATGGTTCACATTACACAGCTAAGCTGATACTCTATTCACACATTACATATTCAGCTCTTATATACTGTAGTTGCATAATTAATCTAATAGTTTACAGTGACTGCAATTGTTTCTTCCCTTTTATCGATAATTTAGGTGAAGCGTCTGGTCAGGCTACACAAGAAGGAGATACAAGTCCCAATATCGCCTGTTTCTGCACACAGACAAAACCGCGTATTTGATTACAGGATATATCCTAGGAATACACTATTTCTTCATGTTTATGCCTACTAAGTCTAATTTGGGCATTGCATTGGACTGTAAAGAGTAGAGTTATGTTCTGTTCATGTGATTGAACTGCATCGATATACAGTGATTATTAAGATCGATTGTCTTCCATATAACATCAAGAGTCCATAATATGAGAAAGATTTGTGAACCCGTGTTCTTGATTCATGACTATATTTTACTGGATATGGACTCTTGATAACACCAAGATCACATATAAGAGATCTCATATATATCATAGAGTCTATCAATAGAGTCATCTATAGAGTCCTCTAATAGAGTCACTAATAGAGTCATATTTTTTTTTATATATTAGTCGCTAATAGTAGTCATAATAGAGTCCCATTATTATTGGAATTATATTCATGTAACTTGATGTCATTAATGTCTGTTATTGATAGACGCCTGAGAAAACAGCTACTATGTTCTGTCAGGATATGACCGAATGATATAACATGTTTTTATTATTTAACAGTAAAAAGTACAATTATTACTTATCAATTAAAAGACCGTCCCAGCCTAACCAATTTGGACTGTTGTGCAGCCGTTGTACAACGTTTCACTGTACGTGTAAAAAACGTGATATAACGTTGTCGGCAACCGATAAATTTGTAGGACTCCATGAACGTTGGCACGTGTGTGGATCACCATCCCTGTAATGTAACATTCCTGAACCATGCTGTAGACGTTTAAAATAACATGTAGATTATTATTAATTAATATAGATGGTAGCGTGGATGCATTCAATTTTCACTTAAATATGAATGCTTATTTAGCCTTCAAGTGTTCAGGCTAGGCAAAGGTCACACTGGTCATTGCTAAAGAATCAGCAAGAGCTACGTCCACGCCTGTTGTTAGTAACGAAGAAAGACCGTAAGCTGCCACTGCATGCTCTCTCTCTCGCGCTCTCGCTATACCCACCTATCTCCATCCCCGCAAGGCGACGAATCTTGTTTAGTCCAAATAAATTTCACAAAAAGGCGCATTGTAGGCGAGAACATTAGTGATAAGCAATGGTAGATCTTACGACTGCAGTGTACGTATTCTTAACGCTATATATCTCTACTATTTCTATACAGAAAATGCAGGAACACGAAAACAAGCGTCTGTGCGTTGTCAAATCGTCACACAGCTTCGCCTCGTAGTCAACGGCGCAGCGCAGCGCACTGCGGTGGATGGTGCATCCGATTCTAGATGTTCAAATATCACGCAGTAGGCTATCTAACAGTTTATCATTTGCATTAGCATATATTTTACGATATTTTTCTAATCGATATGGGTACTGCCTGACTAATAGGCCATGGCTATTGACAGTATATTTGTTTTGGATTGTAGTCCTTGAAATGCTGCAGTTATGATTAATAAGACTGGAGACTCTAGCTGCAGTATTGGGTGCTCTCTTATATATTCAATAGTATAAGAAGTGAAGCTAGTCCTATCGTGGAAGACAACAGGAATTGCAGGGAGCAGCAGCCTTTGTCTTCACGTAAGACACATTTACTCCGGGAAAAACTACCTGACAGTCAGATTTCTTGTATTGGATATTTTCTGTTGATGCGTCTTTCACTGTGAGGCATTAGTGAAGCCTCTTGGTGGCAGCTTCAATATCTCGATTAATCTCCTTGCATTTTAGCGGAGCGAAGCCACGCAAAGCGAATGCAGTTGTCATCTCCGAAGAACAGAACCTCAACACTAGTTATGTCCAGCTGCCGCATTTGGACGTCAGTCGACCTGCACGCATTGGTCTCCTCCACCATTTCGAGGTACCCTACCACCCACACTTCGCCATAAGCTAATACACGCTTCATTACTTTGCTATTGCATGTCTGTTTTGTCACAAACTGATTGACATTGACGAGTCGACATCTTGCTGCAAATGGGTGCTCTTATATATTCACAGTAGATGTAAGGAAGTGAACTTAGTTCTATCGGGAAGACAACGGGATATGCAGGGAGAGGATCCTTGGGTGCTCACCGTAAGAGACATTTACTTAGTAACAACTACCCTGACAGTTCGATTTTTGTATTCGGATATTTTTCTGTTGTGCCTCTGTTCATGTGAGATTAGTGAAGCTTGTGCCAGCCTTAATATCTCATACATGGCTCCCTTGCCTTTAGGGAGCGAAAGCAAGCAAAGGAAACTGCAGTGTGTCACTCCGAAGAATCAACACCTATATGTCGCAGCGGGGCCGGCTCGCCCTTTGAGTAGTCGCTTGCACCATTGCCGGTCTCTCCACCATTCGAGGTACTCGTACCAGCCACACCTTCTCAATACAATACTACACCATTAAAGCCGCCCACAATGCGCATCCAAACGCTAATTTCGCAGTACTCAGACTACAAATACTTCGTGTCAATGCATAATCACATACACTTATGACAAAATAAACTTCTAGTTGCTCCCATTTCACTCGCTGCGTTTGCTTAAAACCACAGAAAGGAGCTAGGTGAGAAAACTGGCATTCTGGCGCAAACGCGACTGTTGCCAAACAATATAGCCTCGACCCAGTGGTTGACAGTGACCGTCACATGTTTTTATCTTTGCCTACACCGTACCACTGTAACAGCAGCACCGCTGCACGGTTGCTTGCGGATTGGCGGAACTGTCAACAACATCTGGACGGTATTTTCAAATACCTTTTATAGACCAACGCGCAGTGATGGGAGGAACTAGAGTTTATTTGTCATCAAGGTGTGTGCTTATGCATGCCGACCGAAGTATTTGCTAGTCTAGTATTGGAGAAATTAGCGTTTGGATGCGCATTGTGAGCCTTTAATTACTTGCTATTGCATGTTTTGCTCACAACGATGTGACATTGGAGTCAGACATTTGGCTGCAGATTGGTGCTCTTATATATTCACATAGATGTAAGAAGTGAACTAGTCCTATCGGAAGACAACGGGAATGCAGGGAGCAGCAGCCTTGTGCTCACGTAAGACACATTTACTCAGAAAACTACCCTGACAGTCAGATTTCTTGTATTGGATATTTTCTGTTGATGCTGTTCATGTGAGGATTAGTGAAGCTCTGGTGGCAGCTTCAATATCTCATACATCTCCTTGCCATTTTAGGGAGCGAAAGCAGCAAAGGAAATGCAGTGTCACTCCGAAGAACTCAACACCTATATGTCCAGCTGCCGCCTTTGACTTAGTCGCTGCACCATCTGGTCTCTCCACCATTCGAGGTACCGTACCACCCACACCTTCTCATACACTACTACACCTTTTAAAATTACTTGCTATTGCATGTTTTGCTCACAACGATGTGACATTGGAGTCAGACATTGGAGTCTATATCAGTGGCCATTTTTTAGTATGTGGCATATTTCGATACCCACTACCTCTACTATTTTTATGCACTTAGTTTCAGAGATGTGTGGATGTTTAGTATGGATTCATTTGCATGTTGTGATTAATACGTACGTTATCTGACTGTTGCACAGATGTCAGGAACATTTCATTCACCGAAAAGTTAGTAATGCTAGTATCCATGTAGTAGTGTCACAGTTATCCAGCCGGCAAATGTTAAGCAATGAAACGGTGATGTGTATGGCAGTTTTCTCTTTTTTTTTAGGTAGTGCTGAATTCCCAAGGATAGACGAGGATGATACAATCACTGTTCTAGTTAACCGAAAACCAGAGCCACAGACAGTAAGTAGCTTTCACCTGTGTCGTCGGCATACCCCTGTACAATTTGTCATTGTCATCATTGTGATCAGTCACAATTATCAACTACTATTATCAACATATTATCAACTATTATAACACTATAACACTATTATCAACATATTTTATTGTTTTCCTCATCTCCATCAAGATTTTAATCGACATCATCCCCAACATCATTGTTATCCTTACCAACGCCATAATTATCATTGTTACTAACATCATCATCATTGGCACTAACAACATCTTCATTGTGAGCAAGAACGTGTGTCTTGACTGTTATTGTTTATCATGTTGGTGATCGGATGTAATCCTTGAAAAGGTTCAAGTAGCCTCACATATGTTTCATTTTTATTGGATTTTTAGTTGAATTTCTTCAAGAAGCTTTTCTTAGTGCATTTAATCAGTGCTGCGAGATTTGGGACTTCCAGGCAAAAATAGATGGGTGTGTGGTTCCCTACGTAGAGGGTGGGAGTAGGTCAACAGAGTGAAGGAGACGTGGTCATCTTCCCAGCCATATAGGAGCATGGGAAGAACGGATCTCACAAGTGGAGGCAGTATAGGCTGTTAAGACAATTTAGGTCAGGAGTGGGGTATCAAGGTGAAAGAGAGTTGGATTACAAGTCTCCAAGGTCAAGACCCCTGATTACCACCTCCCCCCTCCGTATAGAAGGATCGAGTTGGCAGTCCCGCAGTATTAAGAGGGTGTCTTAAGGTGATCAAGGATGAATGTGGGGTCGCTATGTGGAAGAGAGTGGGAGTAAGTTGATGAGGTGGAGAGTTGTGATTGTCCCCTCAAGTATAGGGGGATAGGAAGAGTTGGTGCCACAAGTGAAGGCAGTAGGATATGGGTCTCAAGGAAAGTGTGAGAGTGGGATCCCTAGGTGGTAGATGTTGGTAGTAAGTCGATAAGGTGTGCCTGATTATCCCACCAAGTATAGGAGTATAGGAAGAGTGGGTGTCACAAGTCGACACAGTGTTGGAGAGTGGCCCCGTGGTTGAGGAAAGATGTGGTGAATGGAATCCTATACTTGTCCGTCATTTTTATTGCCCATCAAAAACAGGTTGAGATGCAGGCACAGATTGATTTCTAAATAATAACCGTAGAAATGTATTTGTCTCTTTTTTTAGCATTAAGATGTTTATGCATGTTTATGCATGTTTATGCGATGTTTGTGCATGTTTATGCATGTTTATGCATGTTTATGCGATTTTTGTGCATGTTTATGCATGTTTATGCATGTTTATGCAA